GCAGCACTGGGGCCTTGGTCACCTTTCATCTGGGTGTCTGTGTTTTCGCCCGCCCTTGGTTTCTGCTGATCACCGAATTTCTTAACAGCACGGTCCAAGAAGTCCTTGACGTACTGCTTCATTTTCCTCGCTTGCTTTTCACTTAGGGGTGCATTGGGGTCGCCGACTCGGTTGTTCTTATAGTCGGACGAGACAAGCTTCTTAGCTATCTCTTTACCAAAGCGCTTCAGCTCCTCCTTAGGAAGTTTGTGATGGAATTTGTCGAGGACATGTTTGATGTGGGGAAACACCTAGCAGTCTGTTAGTAGAGTCCTTGACAGAATTCGAATGCAACAAACCGTATTTTCGTATATCTTCATTTGTTTTTCGACTGGGAGAGATCGCCATTTCTCCTCCTTCACCTCCTTGGGTGGCGTATCCGCCGTCTTGGGGGTCGAAACTGAAGTATGTTTAGGTGTTCCCCTCTCAGTGACCTGGTTGATGATACTTTGGATCGCCAATTGCTCCTTCATAGCTTTGGAAGGTGCCTTGACAGCAGGTTCCGCTACAGGCTGAGTAGGTCGTTGCCATGTTGTGGTGCCTTGTTTGTTATAGAAATAAGTGTTTCCTGCAGCATCCTTGGCGGTGAACCATCCCTGAGGAAGCCCACCAGTGAATGGGGGCCTGCGAGGACGTCCGCCGTTCTGGAAAAACGCGACGTTCCTTTGCGGCATGCTGTTTCGAGGGCCTTTCGGCGCGTCAATGGTCTGTGGCGACGCTGTCTTTGAAGATTGCGCTGCCTCCTCGTCTCGACCTGCACCGCGTCGCTCCTCAAATGAGTTTGCAGCTGGTGCGTTGGGGTCGAACTTGCGTCGTCTGATTCGGTACGCCACCTCCAACTTACTCCACTCGTCGAGAAGGTATTTTGACTTTGAAGCCACGTCTTCGTGCTCGGATCGTGTCAGACCTTCGATGGCGGCCTCGATCTTGGAGTCCTGGATCTTGTTCCTTGTCAAGCGTGGGAACTTGTCGAGGATGTCCAAAACCTGAAGGACAACGTTGTGGTCCTCGATAAAGGTGTTGAGTGTTGTTTTGAGAATTTGGTAAGCGTGCATACGCATAACACAGTGGATGACGCGCTCCTCGTCGCACCGCAGGATACGGTCCAGTAATTTCACCGCAATCCATTTCTCTTTGCATTGCATAAGAGCAGCCATGACCTTTCGCGCGTCGTCTTCGTTGAGACTGCGCGAAGGTATACTGTTCACATATTCCTCATCGTCCTCGTCTGGCTTCTTCTTCCGAGGCTTCTTTGCCACCGAGGTATCCCAGCCGTCACCTCCATCGATACCTAAAGCCTCGACAGTCGCGACAGGCAATTTGGTTGCTCGCTCAGTCTGTGTTTTGCCTCCAATGAATCCCACGCAATTGGCTTCCCCGCAGTAGCAGGGTTGGGGGTCGGCACCATATCGGTCAACATTGTAGTTAAACACCAGCTCTTCTCCGGATTGGATCTTGCGCGAGGCAAAAATGCCCATTCGGAGTTTGTCGCCAACCACCCACTTATCAACATAGCAGTTGGGGTTGCAAGAGTGATTGCAGAAGCGACCATAGTTGCCCTTTTTTGTTGCGTCCACAAACTCGCTCTTGTTTAGCGACATGAAGTAAAAATGCTTGATACCCTCTTCGTCGTACTGGATCATTCGGCGGCGAAAGGTAGGCTCGTTGATGACTTCGCCGATGTACTCAAAGACGAAGTCATTGGCTTGTAGATCAGAGTCGGCACGGAGGCCGAATCCCTTCTTTTCTGTCTTGATGACAGAAACGTTGGCGTACTGCTTGCGCTGGAACCGCTGATTCTGGCAGCCCCCTGCACAATTTCCAGCCTCAGCGCTACATTCCATTTTTGTCGCTCGATTGATGCAGTCCGAGTCCTCGCCACATGCAATATTTTCGCCATTGTCTGTAGAGAAAAGTTAGCAAGGCACCGGACCACAGGGGCTCCGTGGGCAACGTACGCCATTCTTCCCGACACTCGCAGTCCAAGGCGTCGTTATCTGTAGATCCAAGGTGCTTTGAGCCGTATAGGCAATCGGGAATGAGCTGAAAGAAATTACAAGATTCGGCGGTCATGTCGGGGAGGTGGTCGAAAAGGACGGGTTCGCGGCTGGCTGCCAGCTTTTGAGAAGCCTTTCGAGAGAGCTTTGAGGGTCTGTTTGAGCTCGGTGTGTCTGCGCTTCCACTGCGCGACTTGACGCCATCATGAGAAGCGCTCGGCGACCGGGACTCTTCCTGGCCGCCATTCGTGACAGACATTGGAGTCCTCTCTTCCTGCTTCACCTGCGCGCCGTTTGTGCCCTCCTCAAGCTTGATTTCCTCCATTTTGCTGGTCGTATACTCGTCATCCTCCATTAGTACATCAGGAGCAATAGCACAAAGGCCAGGTTTGGAGTGTGGTCTCAGGATCTATCGAAGGTACTGGGCTGTCGCGAAGGAGCAGGACGTGTCGAGAGGTCAATGCGAACGCGAAGAATGACTCGTCCCAAGACAGCAAAAAGGGTGGAGTGTGAACGCGGAGTTGGTGGAGCGGGTAGACTATATCCCAGGCGCATCTACTGCAAGGCAACCTAGGGACCTTACGGGGAACGAAGCAGAAAGTTAGAGGCGAGGCGAGGCAAGGCGAGAAGAGAGGCCCGAGAGAGGTTACTTGATGTAGTTACCTACCTATGCAGGCCAAATCCGGGGTTAACGTTAAGCGGTCACGGGAAAAAGCGACGGGGCGAGACAAAGAAGCCAGGGCACATTGAGACCGTGCATCGACGATTACAAAAGACAACGGGAGGGACAAAGCCAATTCGAGTCGAGAACAACTCATTCCGACCCAGGACAAACCCCAAGGCAAAGCAAATAGCAAGCAGCATCTTTTGTCGGAATTTTATGGCCCCGAGTGCCCGACGCAGTGGAAAAGGCCCGACCGAGGCAACTACGAGCGCCATAATCGCTATTCCTCCAGTTGCGTGCAGCTCAGAAGTAAGCCACCGCGAAAACAACCTTTAACATACTACTATCATTTCGCATCAATTCACACCGATTCTCGAGGCTTCAGGTCTCTGAGCGTCCTCAACGTGGACGATGTATCCAGAATGCGCCTCAGCAGCTCCTGGTAGTCCCAGCCCAGGGCCTCTGCAGCCAACAAGGTGAGACTTGCTTGATCCTCGCGCCCAGGCCGACCAGGACCCGTCATGTTCTGCAAACAAACGTCTTTAGCCACACTTTGAGCGCTTCGGGAAGGACAGGACAAACCGGTTTCATGTTCACGTCAAATAAGGCAAACTTGGAGTCGGCCGAGTCCTTGAATCTGCGGACATCAATTCGAATCGGCGCTGTCACCGCCAACTCTTGTGCCACCCTTTCGCATTCCTCTGCCACCTGTTTGTACGCTGCCTGGCTCCCCTCCGCGGCGGTTATCGCCCTTGAGTTTGCTGTGACTGCGACGGCGCCATTGTAGGGAGCAACGCCATCGATGTGGTTGAAACGCGTCACAACAGGCAATGCCCAGTATCCACCTCCCCTAGAGATAGGCGGCATAACCGTAACAGTGGCCTCTTCGCCGGCAAGATATTCTTCCACCATGATAGAGGGTGACTGTTTGAATAAGGCCTGTGCATGTTCAATGAGGTCATTCAAGCTGCGACAGACACGAACGCCATGGCTGCCACGGCCACGTATAGGCTTTGCGACAATCGGGAAAGGGAGGTTAAGCTTCTCGAGAATCCCTCGAGTGTCTTGGCTCTCGTTTAGGGTCCATGCTCGTGGCATAGTAAACCCGCCAAGTTTCCGCAGTAGATTGTTAACAAATTCTTTGTCGTCGTATCGCTCAACAATCAACGGGCCTTGCCCCACAACTTTAATATGGTCTTGATGCTCAGCGAGACGAGCTGATACCTGAAGGGGATGCGACGAGAAGAGGATTGTGTTGGCCCATATATGGCTCGCGCCCTTCTTGATAGCCTTTAGAATGCCATCCTCGGTATCGGGAAACGACCATCCAGCTTGTTGACTTGGTTTGGGATCATTGTGAGGGCAGATAATATCGACGTTCGGTAATAGGCTCAAGTTGTAGGCGATATCGGCGCCGGAGTCCATGTAACCTATGAACACAGTTAAGCAAACACAGTGAATTTGACAAAGAAAGGACAAATCTTCGAACCTCCGGGCTTCTTTGGTTTCTGGATTCCATCAATAACGGGAGGATCGAGACTTTGGTAAAGCACGGCTACACGAGCTCTTGATACTGTGGACATCGAAGCTTTCAGGTTAATCAAGGACGAGCGATGACGAAATTGTCTGCGGGCTCCTGTTGCAAGAGATTGTATCACGTGCATGGGACTCGAGACAAGGCGTTGCATGATTGAATTGGAGTATCATACTGATAAATTAGAACTAAAGATTCGAGAGAATGAGAAGATATTATATCGTGGAGCCTTCGATCTTAGATCTGCTCGTCGGAACCGTCCGGTGGGCTATTCCTTCAGCGCAGATGGAGTAGTCCGTGATATCACCTATACTCAGGTATCCAGGCGTTATCAACGCCAATTGACGAGGTCACCGAGTTTCATGAGCTGTTTAATTGTTGTTTTCATGAGTTCTGCTTCCTATGATGCAGTTGATCTCTTGGTATTATGGGCTGAACAACAATCATGGCTCTTTTTGTTAGCTATTTCGAACAGGGCCCAGTCAGACCTTGCCAGCTCATTGTGCATTAATGCCTGTCTAGAAGATCAACGCTATGGCTGGGCCTAATTATAAAAGGGAGATGCTCTCTCTTGTCTAAAGCGGTTGATTGATGCCCTGTCTGCTCTCTTTTTTATGCAATGATGAACTGTCAATGGAAAGTTGAAGTGATGTAGTCCCTGGACCTACATCAGATCCAATTGCTGATGCTGAGACTCTACGTACCCTTTGACGAACAGTTGGCCAGTGCTACGCTGGCGAAATACGACGAGTCGACCACCAAATCAATGACCAGTCATTCTTCTCTTCGACGGCAACGAAGAGACAACAAAACCCTTGAGAATAATGACCTGAAACCACGGACCCGTCGCCAACCGGCCAATAGACCTGAGCCCATCCCTTCAGGTTTCCAGAGAGTTGCACCAACTGCCCCTTGCCCAACCCTGACGGTAAATAGCTTGGCAGCTCTTGATTAATAGTCGCTGACTTTGCCTTGCACAGGATACTACCAGGCTGAACTCATCGCTGGTTGGTGGCCACACATCCATCATGGGCATGGATGGAACAAGGACAAATACGGCACCAGCCGCATACGCGAGAAGCCAATGGAATATCGCCAAATCCATGTTGGTGTGTATCGATGGGCTGAGCCTGTGAGCACGGGACATGGAATATGTGTCTGCCGTCTACAGAGTCACCCTTCCCTTCGATAAGCCCCCTACTCCGAGTCAGGCGCCTCCAGGTTCTAGCGGGATTGGTCCTTTGAGTTCTCTTTAGACCCGTCCTGATGCACCTATTTTTTGTCCGAGGAGTGAGTGCTGCAGTGGTGCATCATGGCAGGGTCACAGTCATTAAAGAAACAGGGACTATGGACAAATTGGAGCTCTCCAAGTGAGACATTTAGAGGCCTCTCGACGCAATTGCTCAATCCAACAAGCCTTTGGGTTGTCAGCTTGGTTTGCCATCCGGAATTGGTGGTAGTCATACTCACAATCATATCAGATCAGCGCCTCACTCGCAAACATGGATAGGAGGATTTCCAGATCCAGGAATCGGCTTAAGCTGTACCACGCAACACACGCACATGTACATGCACTGCGCATGCACAATCTCATTACATCGCATCCCACCTCATCTCATCTCATCAGGGGATAATGAGATGAAAGGTGCTGGATCGCATTGCATCTTGTGCGTCGCTTTCTCGGCCACTCCCGCGCTATCTACCTTACTATCCAATATTATGTGCAGCAGTTTACAAACGGGCTGAGGCGGTACTTGAATATTGGGCAAAGCCGATCAATGTATTTGGTGGCTTCAATCCGAATTAGGTACCTACCTACCTGGTCGTTGTCTCTGTGCACCCTCTGTCTGCCTTATAGGAGGCATCCAGGGTCTGACACTGACACTGAGTCTGTCATTATCTGCTTCTCGCCCATTAGTCTGCTTGCACCAGCACCAGCACCAGCACCAGCATCATCGCCCAAAACCTAGTACCTACCTGCTACTTACTGCCTGTATTCGCCACTACGGTTCTTGTTATATTAACATCGTCAGCGTAATCTGGCTACTACTCAAACGAGCATCTCTTGTCAAGGAAATCTCTCAAAGATTTACCTTTGTTACTTCACAAGTTAGCGAAACCAAGTTCCGCTCCGCTTTAGAATAGACCCAAGACTCTAAGAACCGGTCGAAAACGCACCTCATAAGACAATCTCACTACAACACGCAATATCCTCTAAGAATCTGCAACCTTACCCAGGAATTATCAACGACTCTCTTCGTTTTTCTTTTCTTTTACAGGTTCCAGCACAAAGAGACTCTGAACCCAGACCTTGTGTTCCCGCGTCTGGCTACAAGTAGCAATCCTCGCTTCTTCATCCATCCGCTATCACATGTACCGCAGCATCTTGAGCGAGTCGCTTCCTTTCGTCGTACCCGACGTCTCCAAGCCAGTTGGTTGGGTCCATCGATAGGCTATATCGTGACCCTTAAATGCAATATATCACAAGATTCCACAAACTCTTCGACCCTTTCGCGTCTCGCCATCAACCTCCGATGAGTCTATGGAGGGAAACGCCCAGAGACGACATTCGCTTTGTAAAGACTTTCGCAGAACGAGGATCTAGTCCTCGATGGACTTTCACTTCTTCTCGTGGTTAAGACTTATGAGAATTCACATCGACATCTACTTTTGGACCTATTCCAAGCCTCATTCTCACCAGGGTAGTTTCCAAGGGGAAGATCTCAACATGGAGCCATTTAATGACCAGGAGAAGGTATATCTCACCATGCTACTAGCCTCCCTGAATATCTTCAACTGACCAAACTCCAGCGGCATCTCCTTGCCGAAATCATCAAGCACAGTCAATTAGATGTCCAATATTTGGAGAATATAGTTCGTCATATTGAGCCCAACTGGATGCAAATGCAACTCCCCAACGGTAAGTAGAATAGCCACCACCTCCAGACCCCCTGAACTAAACATCCTTTATAGGCCGCAACATGGCTCAGTGTATGGAGACAGCCCAGAATATGTACATAGGACAGCGTGGGACAAAGCGGAAAGCTAGCGAAGAAGAATCGAGCACTCAGAACAACAACGACGGCCATCTTCCCAGTAACCAAGCTCTCTCTCTCCTGTCTCAACCTTCTCCGGCGCAAAACTCACCGGCAAACTTCCAACGCCATTTGCAGCAACCTCAGCAACCTGAACAGCCTCCGAAGAAGAAGAAGGGTCGTCCGGCATATGCAGGTCGGGACGTGACCAGCCAGCGACCTTTCAATCCTCGACCTATCGCTCCAAAGCCATCTGCACAGAACCCACAGAATCCTCACTCCGTCTTTCGTACTATTGCCCCGGCTCCTCAAGCTGTTCTCCCGCCACGACCCCCGGGATCATTGCATAGTACATACAAAGGTCTAAGCCGCGCACTTCCTGTGGAGTTTCCAAACGCGCACGGGAATTTGGATGCTTACCGGCCTTCCATCACACCGTCCTCCGGAATGCTTCAGCCAAAGCAGACAGCAGGAATCCTAGACCATATACCGGTAGGTAATCGCGTTTCGTCTGTTGGACGTCAGCTGATACCCTAGTAGCATGGAGAACAGATGTCTAACCGCCCGAGATCCCTTAGTGAAGCGGTACCGCGCGTGCAAAAACAAGAAGATTCTCCAAACAATCGATCAAGTTCGTTGCAGCCGATAGGAACTGACGACCAAAGTCGCATAATACAAAGTAGAGCGCCAGATCAGATGCAAGAAAGGAAAACAACATCGGATAAGGAGACCACGAATCGACGTCAGAGAAAGACTTGAGGAGATGACGCTAACATTTCTGAATGAACAAACGAGGGAGAACAAGGAGCTTCATCGACTACTCGTGGGATAGTTGGTGCGATAATGCCAAGCACGGATGTTAATGATGGCTCAAGGCTGATGAGGACGGCATAGACAAAGACCAATGATAAGAGAGCAGCTGGTTTGACTCTCACGTAACCTGTAAAGCAGGAAGACTAATAGGCATGAACTTCAGGACATCTTCAGGACCGTATATGGGCATCAATAGACAGAGCTTATCAACTGATAAACAATTGCATCAGGTGAGACATTAACTTGCACTCCTTGCCTAAGCGCAATTGGACAAAATTTGCATACTTGCTCGACATATGACAGCCTCAGAGAGCAAAGGAACACTGTGAACTTTGATAAAGGACGCGAAAACACACTCATTCAAGAGACCTCTCGGGTTACCTATGATAACTTACCTACGTACTTTTATCATTTTGGATTGAGGCCCTGAGCCTTCGCCTCCCTTGGGAAAATAGACACCTGTCTGTTTATTGAAGAGGGAAGCATGTCACGACAAAATACATAATGCTCAAACAGGTGCACGAAAATGTATGAAGAAAGCAAGACGCTTATGTTGATTGCATTAACCCTCATTATCCTTGGCTTCATAGCACCAAAAAAAGTGTGCCTAGTCCATTCCAGATTTCGGCCTCGAGATAAAAGAAATATCTGGATCTCCTAGGTCTTCGCTAAAAATATTTTCTGATTTATTCAGATAATCCCAAACTCCACTGTCCTTAAATAGTCATTTTTGATGGTCCTCTTGGACCTCCTTTTACTGCTTAACAATCTTCTCAATTGTGTCCACAAGGATATCAGCGTGCTTCTGCTGGAAGATGAGCATAGGTCGCAGACGAACGGCGCTGGCGCCGCTGCCACCGATGTTCACACCCAGTTTCTTGGCCTCTGCTAGGAACTGGTCACGCTTGGGGCTGTCAAAGGCAATGAATGTACCTTGACCCTTGCCACGGAGGTTCTCGATCTGACCGGGGTACTTCTTGCTAAGGGACTCGAGGTCCTTGAAGAGGCGATCACCAACTCGCGCGGTATGGTTGACGAGGTCGTTCTTGTTGATTTCGTCAACAATGGCCTTGAAGAGGATGGCGCGAGCAGGGTCACCCATCCATGTGTTGAACTGTCTGTAGGGCTTGTTGGGGCGGATAGCAGGGTCGCCATAGTAGAAACCGGCAGCTTGAGCCTTCTTGGAGAAGGTCACGATATCAGGGGGTGTCTCGAGGTTCCAGTGCTCATGAGCCCAGAACTTGCCAGTAGCCCCGATACCAGTCTGGACTTCGTCGACAATAAGTAGAATGTTATGTTTCTTGGTCAGGGCTCGCAGCTTGCGGAAGAAGTCTGGCGAAGCGTGGTTATCACCACCTTCACTCTGGACCGGCTCGACGACAACGGCGCAAGGAGGCAGGTGCCAGCTCTTAATAAGGTGCTCGACTTCATCGAGACTAGCCTGCTCGATCTTCTTGTTCTCCTCCACGTTCTCCTCGAGAGGATATTTGAGCTTGGGGAAAGTCGCTTGAGGCCAATCGAAAGCAGGGATGTCGACCTTATGGATAGCCTTGGAGCGGGTAGTAGAAAGCGATCCAAAGAGACGACCGTGGAAGCCGGTCTTGAAAGAAAGAATAGAAAGATCGGGGCTTCCAGGGGCATGGTTATCCATAGCACTGTCAAGTTCCTTAGTGCTGAAATCAACCTCAGGGCCACCACGCTCCTGCTGTCGGCGCCACATAAAGGCGGCCTTATAGGCAGTCTCGTTCGCATCCGAGCCAGCCATGGCAGTGAAGACATTATCCAGACCCTTTGGAGCAACAGTGAGAAGACTGGACTTGAGAAGATCGGCCCAGTCGTGAGAGGGGAAGGCTCCAAGGGCAGGTCGGTTGACAATGGCGTTCACCATCTCGGGGCTGGAGGCGGCCTTGAGAAGGGCAGGGTTGTTATAGCCGACTGCAATTGAAGCAATCTGAGCAAAGCTATTTTATCCGTTAGTATTAGGCGATGAAGCTGGCTTTCAATTGACTCTTACACATCGAGAAGCACGTTGCCATCGGGGTCGGCAATGTAGTTGCCCTTGCTCTTGGTGTAGTCGACAAGCATGTTTGCGCTACGAGTATCAAAGACCTTGGTGAGCTCATCCATATGGCTCTTGGTCTTAGGGCCAGGAATAGCTGTCTTGACCGTAGGGGCCTCTGGCTCGCCAGCAAAGAACGTCTTCTCAGAAACGGCAGCCATTCGCATACTGCGCGAAGTAGCGAAAGAGCGGCAAGCTGCAGCTCGGGCAGCTTGAACAGCAGGGCGGG